TATATAATGTATACTAGGATATACCTATATAACAAAACTTCAAAATTAATTATAAAATTGATATACAACATTTAAATATGATACCAACAGTCAAATATTTTATTCATAATATTTATGTATAATTATGTAATATTTATATAGGTATTGTACCTGATTAATTAATATTTTTAGTAATATTGTAAAATTTACCTCTACTACTTCGATGTTTTTAGAAGAGATTAATGAACTATCTCGCTTTCTAGGAGACTTTCTTTTAGTTTGTGGATTCGATAAATATTTTGGGCCAGGAAATATGCAAGGTATAGCATCTTTTTTTAGTTTTGGATACTTCAAATTTATCTGAAAAACATTGTTCATTTAAATAAATAGTTAGTCGGATAAATAAAATAGTCTGAAATAAATGAGTAATAAAAAAAAAAAATGTTCAGTTTTAATTTTAAAAAGTAAATTATCTAGATACTTACACACACTTGTTTATCACCAACCCCTGAAGTCCATGTTCTAATAATTTGATCAGCAGTAAATGACACTCCACAAATTGCTGAATTTTTAGTAACAATCAAATCTTTTTCGGGTATTTTATTTATCCACTTTTTCTTAAATTTTCATCCGTAGGAAAGAAAAGTAGATGCCTTAATTGTACTATGGTTAGACTTATATCCAGTTTTGCAACCGACTACGCAACATGAACGAGGCATTATCCACTATACTAAAATACTGGACCATTATAATTTATAAGTAGAATAAAGTAAATTCAGTGTTGTGAAGTATTTGAGTAAAAGTATTCAAATATTTCTTTAATAATTTAATACATATTTGAAAAATGTTAAATATTATTTCATTGTATTGAATACTACTTACTTATTATAACTATAATTTACTAGATAGTTGATATTAAAAAAATAGTGTAAACTTTGTCTTAAATACGATTTAAAAGTATTACTTAAAAATTACAAAAAAATTTTGATAGTTATTTTACCTTTTTGAATACTAATTTCTAAGATATTTTACAACACTTTTGTTTTACATAATATTACAACGACTAGTTCAAAATTACATACCTGAATAAAAAAAAGCTGTATAATGCACCAGAAAAGTGAAAACTTCAAACTTCAAATAAGGCCGTGATTTAAACTTCACTGTTGTCTGTTTAGTGTTTACTGTTATAAGACTTATAACTTAAATACTTGATTAAATAAATAAAATTATCACTATAGTCTATAATCTATAACAATACTAGCCATTAGCGCTCTAAGGATGTGGTGAAAATGTATACTAAACCCGTATCGCGTACTGACCGCAGCTGCCAATGCTATTTAGATAGACGATAGCTAACCTGTATATCTTTAACCGTGAGCAGAACCGAGCATTAGCGCTCCTAGCGTTTAAATATTGAATAATAATTGATAATATACTATTTTTAATCGTGTCATGAATTAACGTTATAAAAAATAAAATACGGAATAACAAATAATAAATTTATATTTTATAAATTATAATATTGTGTTGTTATATTACATAATTTTTATTTTTTATTAAATAATAATTATATTTAAACAATATTAATAATATATTTTTGATGATTAAATAAAGTATAATAAATATACTTCCCTTTCAGTGTAAATTATAATTTAAGTTAACTACCTACGAGTTTTGATAATTTTTTTAGATTCTGAGTGGAACGATGAATGTATTGGTTTTACAATGATGTGTGTTTTTTTTGTGTCTGTGTACACGATAAGTAGTCGAAATAATGCTTCGATTTTCGACTTCAGTATCTTGTTCGATTGGAAAGTGAATATCGTTGGTGCATTGGGAGGTCAAATTTTAAAATTCCCAGTACTTTTCAAAAGCGCCAAGAAAACAAAAGAAAAATTAAGGAAAAAACGGGAATTTTTACGCAAAATCGATTTTTCAGAAAATTGAATTTGGTTTTTGGTGTAACTTTAAAACAAATGACCGTAGTTACATGAAATTTTCACTGGTTGTTTATATTTGCATTTTCTATACACGATAACATTTTCAAAATATTTTGATTTATTTTGAACTGTTTAGGGACATTTTCAGTTTCCAATTTTATTAGTTTTTTTTTTTATGAATATCAATAAAAATTTATTTATTAAGTAAAAATACTTGAAAATTTAATAGAAGGCTCCTAGTATATTGTTTCAAAGGCAGATGAAAAATATTAAAAATCGTTAGTCACAGTTTTTTTTTATAAGCATTTAAAGTTCAAAAATGGACAAAATATGGAAAAATCACGAAAATTCGCAAATTATTTTGAGTTAAGAATTCGTAAACATTTTTCATTTTAAATCTAAGATTTGAAAATCTAATACAAGGTTACTCATAAGATTATCTACCTTTATCAATAAAAAAATCTCTACCGGAAAGTCAAATTAAATTTTTATGAGCGTTTGAAATTCAAATTTTTACAACTTTGGATATTCACTTGATTTCTCATGTAGCGATTTTCTTATTTTGTTGTAATTCCAAAACGAATAACTATAGATACATGAAAATTTCACTGAATGTTCAGATTAGCATTTCCAATACACTGTACGATTTTGAAAATATTTCGACTCCTTTTGAGCTGTTTACGGACATTTTCAGTTTTCAATTTTTTTAGTTTTTTTTTTTCTATAAATATCAATAGTTTTATCTGTTGGGTCAAAAAGTGTAAAAATTTAATACAAGGTTCCTGATATATTGTTTCAGTAGCAATTGAAAAATATTAAAAATACATATGCACAATTTTTTTTTTATAAGCATTTAAACATCGAATTTTGACCATATTTATCAAAATCTCTTAAATTATCAATCATTGTAATTAATAAATTATAAAACGTTCAGTTTTTATGGCTAAAGATTGCAAATTTAAAACAAAGTTTCTCATAAATAGTTCATACTGTAACCAAAAAATCTAAAAATATATGAACACAGTTATTTTTTACAGACATTTTAAATTCAAATTTGGACGAAATTACATATTAAAATCAATATTAACGGTCTTTGTTTTTGTTGTAATTTAAAAATATTCTTCGGGGATATATGAAACTGAAGAATCAAAATATTATGGCCTATCCATACAATCTACCATAGTATAAGGAATAAGAATTATGCTCATGATAAGACTGTGCATATTTTAAGGAATTTATTCATAAATTCCATATAATTTAATACCATAGAAAAGTATGTAATATGTCTTATACCTAGACTGACATACCGTCTCCGCTCAGAATCGTTTTTCTTATACAATGATATAATATCATTGCATTCAAATTTAATACCATCCATTATACGGTGACCCACTTGTAACCTGCAGTACAGCAGAGCGACGTCACTTACCCACCTTTTTTAGTTTTATTTTGTTTTTTATTCATTTGATTTTTAATATGATATGTATACTGTCTCATTCTCATTATAACAAATGTGCTACATATATCTGTGAGAATATCAAGTTGGTGCACATTACATTCAAATGTCAAAGGATTATTAGTACTTAGAAAATTTGACAATGTTTCATTAAACACATCAATAAAGCCAGCATGTTTCACAAAACTTAACTCTAAACTTCTCAGAATGAGAAATAAATTTTTATTAGGATGTGACTTTAAACCAAACTTTACAATTAAAATTACGTAGGTAGTAGCTACCATGTAATCACGAATGTAAAAATCGTTGAAAATATCGTATTTTTAATCGTGTATGTACTTTTTTTTGCATTTTCGCGGGAAAATAATGTGCATATTATTACAGAAGAATCTTGAATTCTGATGAGTAGTACATAATTTATACCCTATGAGCGCTTGTAAAAGTTTCTAGAGTATCGTTGATAATAAAAGAAACTATGAGCATCATTAAATTGTTTCTTATCATAGTTCGTTGTGCAACCATTCTATCTTTAATCGTGGTAGGAACGGAAATAATTACAGAGGCGGTTGTTAAGATACGCGCTCGACCCGTATTACCAGGGGTGCGAAACTCCGTGCGTTGGCCGAACCAGGCGATCGCGGCCTTGAACACGGTTAGGAGGCCGTGGCATACGTGAAAACCCCGCGTCCCGTATCCCGCCATAGTCTTGGAACCAATTCTTAATATACTGGTCTAACATCATGTTGGTGCGGGAACCAATTCCATGTTTTTCGTAAGTTCAGACTTCAGATCATAGGGAACCAATACTCCAATCAGCTGATCGAGTTTCGCTTCTATAATGTCCAAATTGGAAAAATTGTTAAAGAAAAAATGAATGATGTTCTGAAAAAAAATATCGGATATCAAAGTTTAATTCGAATTTCAAACATTTTAAATGGCGAAGAAACTTCAATGGACGAACTACCCGAAAATCTTAGCATAAACGATTTGGTCTACTACAAATACGCTCCAGTTAACTCTGTCGACGTTGAAAGGTAATTTTCAATGTTCAAAGTTCTTTTGGCAGACAACAGACAATTTTTTCAGTTTGAAAATTTAAAAAAACATTTGATCGTTCAATGTAATTTTCAAGGTAAAAGTATTATAATAATTAAATATGTAATGGCTAAAATTATTTTTACTAAACCATGGGTATTATTTTTTTTAGAGTCAGAAGATGTAGACGAAAATTAAGAAAATTAAGTAAAATGTATTAATTACTAATTAATGTAATAAATAATAATTAAATAAATAATAAATAATAATTAATAATTAATAAATAATAATGTTAATGTATTATGTATTTATTATTTAAATAAAAAGGCTAAAAAAAATTTTAAGTGCATATTTTAATTGCATATTATGGGGTTTTTTAGTGCATAAGTGCTTGCATATTTAGAGCTTTTTTAGACCTACAAGTCATCTGCCCTACTAATAACATTTTTTGTAAAAACAAAATAATAATAATACATAATAGATTATAAGAATAATACATTTTTAAAAATAACTTGAAACTTTTTTGACTTAAGAAAAATATTGAACTGTATTAAAATTATAAAATTAAAAACTTTAAATTCTCTAGAAAACTAATCTATGTCGTCATCTGAGTCACAGTGTTGACAAATATATCGATCTTCTTGACTGGTGCATGCTTCGCGAGACCAATTTTTGCATTTAACGCATTGAACCCATTTGTCTTTGGGGCGACTGGACGAAAATAACTCACAACAAACTAAACACATTGTATCGTCTTCTTCGTCGTCATTTAAAATTAACTTTTTTTTCGCCAACTTTATTGTTTTTGACTGTCGCTTTTTACTTCCACTTGATTTTTTCGCCTGTCTTTCCTGTTTTTGTTTTTCTAATTTTTCTTTCTCGGGTGTATCTGTTAGTATAGCTGTGTGACGTTTCCTAGGATTTGTTCTACCTGCTTTTCTTTGTGGTTCTTTTGGTAATGGTCTAATATCTTCTGGTGTTATAATAGGTGATAATGTGTTTAGATTGGCAGGTAAAGGGCTACTTGTAAAATTATTTGAAGTTGACGCAACTGGCTCTTCTGTTTCTGGTAGATTGTTAGTAGAATTATTTGAAGTGGACGCAACTGGTTCTTTTATTAATAGTTGATTGTTAGTAAAATTATTTGAAATATCAGGCGGTAAATCAATGCAATCTTGTTGATTTGGTTCTTCAATTAATACTTCAGGTCTATCTGTAGCATAACCTGGCATAAAATCAACTTCAGTGAAAATATCCGGATTAAATGGATAAATCCCACTGACAGAAAAACCGGATGAAATATTAGTCGGAGTAGCAGCGAGTGGTAATGCTTGCTTAATAATACTAGGTATATCGTATATAGACATCGTTTTTCCAGGATTATTAACTATCCACGAATCACACGTGGTATTGACGTATTTTTTAAGTGGTCCGAAAACACTCCTGTCTAATGGCTGTAACTTATGCGAGCAGTGGGGTGGGAATGATAGCATAATGATACCATTTTCTTTACAATAGTTTAGACCTTCTATTGATAAATGCGATTCATGATTGTCGAGTAACAATAATATTGGTTTCTCTTTTGAACATTTCACAAATCTAACAAAATGTTTTAAATATTCAACAAAATGGGTTTCATTCATCCACCCTGACACGTTTGCACCGCCAGCACAGCCAGAAGGACCATTGGATAAAAAATAATCTCGAAAATTAACACTGGGAAAAACAAAATATGGTGGAACACTGTTACCTGCTGCTGAAACAGAATACGCCAAAGTAACTAATGTGCCTCTTTCAGCTGATGTTATTCGACCAATTTGCTTAAAACCTTTACGAGCTACAACTTTATTGGGTTTCTGTACTGTGGTTATACCCGTTTCGTCCATGTTATATATATCCCCCGGACCAAATGAATGACGACTTAAAACGATTTTTAAATTATCAAAAAATCTTTGAACATTTATTCTATTAAAACTGGATGCTCTAGCAAGACTTGTCGCTTCTGGAATTCGTATAGATAAATCAGTCCTACGTTTTTTAAAACTAGTAAACCAATCTGGCCCAGAAATTTTATTTTTCAACCAACTTTCAGGAATGTTTTTTATTTTCAATTCATATGCATACTGATATGCTAGCTTACGAACTTCGTTTGGTGATAAGCCATAATAAATATCTGAAGATTTTTTTATATAAGCAGCAAGCTGTTCCTCTTCACATATTGAAAATACTTGTTTATGTTTACTGTACCCTACACCACTAACCTGGTTAATATGATCTTATTCGTTATCTAAAGGCGGGTTTCCACTATACACGTTCACGTGTGCGTGCACAAATGACAAATAAATTTTCGATTCGAACGGTCTTCAAAACGTTTCACACTGGTTACTTTGGTAACTATGGTTTTATTATATATGGTTCTTGATAACGGTACACAAAGGATATCCCGCCTTTTTTAAAATATTTAAATACATAATACATATTATTATAATTTAATTATGATTTGTGCTAATATTTTATTCTTAAATTTTTTTAAAGTTTTAAACGCATTTTGTTTTTATTTTACTGTCAACACTGTTTAATTTGTTAAATTTTAAAAATATGATGGAAAATCAAGAACTTCAATGGTATAATTATTTTATTAAGATTCATCGAAGAAATGTGTTGCTTGTATATTTAGCCATTTCACACAAAAAAAAAAAAAAAAATCAGAGATTATATAATCTTTTATTTCTATACCTACATATTGTTCTTTAATGTTAAATTATGATTTACTAGATCAAAATCCAAATGGCATGTTCAACCTTTTTTAAAAGAAAGAATAGTACACGGACATTATCATTGTTTAAGTAGTGAACTTCAATTGACAAATTCTGAACAGTACCAAAACTTTATTAGAATGTCTGCCAGCACATTTGAAGAGTTGGTGTGTCTAGTTGGACCCAAAATAAAGCGTTTCCCAAGTCGGCCTGATATAATATCAGTTGGAGAAATCCTAACTGCAACATTGCGGTAATATACCTACCATAATAATAATTCATTGCTATATTTATTTAGTAAATTATTATATTAAGTACAATAATGTGTGACTATTACAGATATCTTGCGTCTGGGGAATCAATGATGTCGATTACATACGGTTTTCGTATAGGAAAAGCTACCGTATCAAAATTAATTTTACAATGTTGTGAAGTTTTATGGGATACATTAAACCAAAAAGTATGTTGTATTCTGGTTATACACTATGTATGTACAAAGCTGTAACTAGTTAGAAAGTTACTTTTTTAATTTAATTCATATTAACTTTGTAACTTAATTAGTTGAATTTAATGTACTTGATGATTAATTTATGTAATACATAACATTTAAAAAAATTGTATTTTAAATTTATATTTTGAACTAATATAAAAACTTACTTCTAACTTCTAGTCTAACTTAAGTTAGTATTTTCACCCAACTAACTTCTATCTAATTAAGTTATAAATTTGATAAATTTTAGAAAGTATCTTATATCCTAACTTAGTTTTTATATTAAAGTAACTTAACTTTAACTAGTTGAAAAAAGTGACTAATTTGCCCAGCTTTGTGTATGTGATCAATATATATAGCGAATTATAGCCATTATTTTTATAACTTCCAATGATAGGTATTAGTTGTACCAGATACATTTAAATGGGCTCAATTACCGGTTGACTTCGAGAGAATATGCCAAGTGCCAAATTGTATTGGCAGCATCGACGGTAAACATATTATACACCAGGTAATAATAATTATTAACTTTTTAATAGTATTTATTTAAATGAATAAAAATTACTTAATTATTTTAATAATTGAATAGGCATTTGCTAACAGTGGATCTGAGCACTATAACTACAAAGGGTCCCATAGTAATATACTGTTGGCAATGTGTGACGCCAAATATAATTTTACGTTAGTCGATATTGGTGCAGCTGGGAGATGCAGCGATGGTGGAGTTTTTTCAAACTCTGAAATGGGCAAGGGTTTCATACACAATAATTTAAATTTTCCAGCTGATAAAGAAATACATGAAAACAGTGGTCCAATTCCATATTATGCACTAGGGGATGAAGCGTTTCCATTACTTTCAAACCTTATGCATCCTTATCCAGGAAGAGGTAAACGAAAACTACCATTAAAGGAATCCATTTTTAACTATAGGTTTGTCTCAAGAATTAAATAATTAAATATTCTAATGATTGTAAACAAAACATTTTTTATACAGGCTTTCCAGAGGTAGACGGACTATAGAAAACACTTTTGGGTTAATGGCCTCAAAATGGCGGATTTTTAGAAAACCGATAATTGCTGGACATAAAACTGTTAATACAATTACAAAAGCTGCTGTTGTACTGCATAACTTTGTAAAACTGTCTGAAAACAATGCTGGTACTTATAATAAAAAAATACTTAATACTATTTGATTATTTTTTAACCTGAATGTATCCTAGGTGTACGGTATTATAGTGGAACTTTAGACACCGAACAAAGCAATCAGTGGGAACCACAGGGAGCTTTAGAACCAGTCCACCGATTAGGAACTAATACATACACAGCAGACGCTAAAGCAATAAGAGACAAACTTAAAGACTATTTTTCAGCTGAAGGTGCGACTTTATTCCAATATGAAAGATTAATTAATTTATAACTATTTGAACCATAAATTTATTAAACTATTTATTGTAAAATAAAAACAAAAACATAAACATATTAACTTCAAAATTGAATTTGTAGAATTTTAAGTATGAGAAAAATTACAAAACAAATAATAATCATACAGCCTTTACTTTTATCCTGATTAGTTAAATATAACAAAAACAAAACTACAAAATTGAATTAATTGTAGAATATTCAATAAAAAAAATAATAATTATACAGTCTCTTCCTGATGAATTAAATATTTAAATATAACACAATTGATAAACATTATAAAATAAAAACATGACTACAAAATTGAATTTGTAGAACTTCCCAGTATAGGAAAAATTACAAAACAAATAATAATCATACAGTCTTTACTTTTTTCTGATTAGTTAAATATAACAAAAACAAAACTACAAAATTGAATTAATTGTAGAATATTCAATAAAAAAAAATAATACTTATACAGTCTCTTCCTGATAGATTGAATACTTAAATATAGCACAATTGATAAAAATTATAAAATAAAAACAAAACTACAAAATTGAATTTGTTTAACTTCCCAGTACAATACAAATTATATAAAAATAATAATAACAAATACTTAGTAGATATAGGCATTAAACAAAATTTTCAGTCTTCCAAACAATTAATTACCTGGCAAATGAGATTTGATTGCAAAGCTATTTTTTTTTTTTTTGGAATATTCTTCATCAGTGAGGCTAAGTATTTACAATAATGTAAGTCCCCGTCTTCTTCGATGGAGCAATTGGTAGATGGAGCAACAGGTCTGGACTCACGTAATTCTTTCAAAATCAAATCTTCAAAAGTGTCAGACTTTGATCCTAAACACAAATATTAATCAGAACTACATAAAATAACAAAATAAGTTGACAATTTAAGATTTAAAATTCATAGTTAGTAATTGTTATAATATGCAAATAAATATATATAAGTATTAATTACTTTTAGTAGGTTTAGTGCTCTGTCCATTGAAGTCTTCTTTGTCTACATGTGAGATATTCTCGGTCAATGATGGAATGTTGCTTGTAGTTCTAAAAAAAAAAAATTTAGTTATTCACATTTGACAATTAGTACCTAAAATTACATTTGTTATTAAAAAAAAAAAAATAGTTTTCCCTTTTAATATTCATTATTATATTATCTTACTTATAATTGCTGGTAATAACATCATTTAAAAAATGCAATGACTGCATGTGGCACCAAATTTTTTTTTCCCTCCTGCAGCACCACTTGCTGGTTTTTTTTTTCCCTGACATACTTCTCCCTCAAGTATTTCCATTTTTTCTTTAAAATTTCTATTGGATATATACCTGGTTATATTCAATAATCATATCAAAATTATAATGAAGTATTAGATTATAGATTGTAGATGAATTAAAACTAACCATTCAGTGCAACATAAATCTCATTCCAAAGCATTTGTTTTATCGGCTCATAACGATCTGCCATAGGAAGCCGATGATCCCATAATGGATTACGTTCATTTATCGCACTAATGAGATTTGTATAAAATTCATTATCGTCATCATCATTGTTCTCTGAGAGGCTTGAAGTATTGCTGTGTTCTTCGTGTTCAAATTCAGCCATAATGTTAGATATTAATGATGGTTTGGAAGACTTAGGGTATGATGATTCACTTGGAGCTGCAACACTTACAGCTTTGGGTTGAATTTTTTGGAATGTATACTGTGTGCGCTGATCTAAAAATATATAATATAAATTGGTATAGAATATTCTATTTAAATTGAAAGGATGCCACACCGCTATGTGTTTCTTCCTGTTCAATTTGAGCCATAATGTTAGATATTAATGATGGTTTTGAAGACTTAGGGTATGATGATTCACTTGGAGCTGCAACACTTACAGCTTTGGGTTGAATTCTTTGGAATGTATACTGTGTGCGCTGATCTAAAAATATATAATATTAATTGGTATAGAATACTCTATTTAAATTGAAAAGATGCCACACCGCCATGTTTTAAGTCGTCTTATAAACGTGAAACATACCAAATTTTAAGTTTTAAATTGTATAAGGGATTAATTCACTCTAATTTTAAAAACAAAAGGGTAAAATGTGTTTTTGAAACGTACAATTTGCTATTGTGATAAGACATGTATGTCTTCACAAAAACAATAAAAGAATAAAAATCCGGTTCCATTATATTATATATTTATAATTTTTAGTTACTTTCTGAACATTTGTGATTTTTCTCGTTCAAATCCATTAAGTAATTACATTTACTGCATAGAATTCCCTAAAACATTCAACATTGCACTTAAGTCTTATACTATAAAATCAAATTATAAAATACATAAATTAAATAATATAAATAAAAATACAATGGCTAAACTGTCAATTAAATGATACATAACATCACAGTTATTGGAACAGTAGTTGCACACAGACTGGTCATATTATTTGATGAGGAATGGTGGCTATTGATCAGTCTCAAATAAAAAAGTAATAGTATTTTGGGGTCTAATTATAAATAAAGTAAAAACTAAAAGTAAATACAATAGCGTTACAAATTGTTACTTTTTTTAAAAATAAATTACAAAATCAGTCCATAACGACTAATAAGTAGTAGGTATACCATTAATTATTATATAAATTGTATATTAGTGTAATAGGTATAAACATTGATGATGTAGGTACATTGTTGAAGACTTAATGTTATACATGATCAAAATGTATAAGTATTATAATATAATATTCCTAGCAAAACCTCCGTCAGTAATGTATGATCAACGCTATCAAATGCTTTTGTAAAATCCATGTAGGTATTATGTTTATAACACCAACCTGAGAATGATTATTAAATGCATCAAATATATAATTGAAAAAGACAAGTTACAAGTGTTAGTTGATCGGCCAGGACAGAAACCATGCTGTTCATCAAATTAGGATTGAATTGACGGCAGGTCAATTGATGTAATTGATTTCAAGACTAGTGAATCAAATAATTTAGCTATATGACTTAATAAGGATATTGGACGATAGTTGGCAACATTACACTTATTCCATGAATTATAAATAGAGTTAACAGTCCTAAGCTATAAAATATTAGGATAGACACCTTCATCTAAGGATTTACGAAATAAAAGTGACAGTTGGTAGGATATTACTCAGTTATATAGCTCAATTTAGATAAACCAGATTCAATAAGAGATATATAAAAAAAGCAATTACTAAGTAAATCATAAAATAAATGTGGAATACTTGAATTATTAATAACACTGTGGTCAGTGTAGACAGACCTAAACTGCTTAGCGAATAAATGAAACTTCTTGATCATTAGAACTAATTAGCTAAAAAAGTAGTTAAGTAAAAATAAAAGGTACTTACTAAAACTTTAGACGATTCCATATTTGGGATATTTCTATTAAAGATTGACGTCGAATTTGACGATTCCATTGATATCTGAGCGACAGGCAGTATTGTGTACCGTGTACACGAAAAATGTTGAGCTATGTTCAACAATACGGTAACATGGTTAATCGTGTGGTAAGAACGTATAAACACATTGGTATACCATACGGTTACCATGGGTACCAACCAATCACAGCAAAGTATTTTTATACACGTATACGTGTACGTGTATAGTGGAAACCCGCTTTAAGAGTTCACGTTTTTTACAATAGCGTGATAATGTTTTAAACGGTATATTGTAATCTTGTGCTACACTTCTGCGTGACATATTGTCAACTAAAACTTTTTTACGGCAATTTTTATTACGTCGATAGGTACTTTTGCTCTACTTGATGTCCTTTTATAATTTCTAACCATTGCTAAATACCTACATATAAGGAAACATATCATTGTAAAATGAAAATTTCTAGAAACACGTGTCAATTTGCCCCGATCTACTTATGTCAATTAACCCCAAACGGTTTTTTCTAATATTTGGCATTTTGGAAAAAAGTGGGATGTTTAATTAACACAACAATTATGATATTAATTAGTACTGTTATCTTTATTTTGATGTGTTGAAATTAAATTAATACGTTGTTTATTCTAAAAAAATATATTTTTTTTAAGCATCATAAAAATTACTTTTAACAGATAAATATACAAAATTGATAATAACTGAAATAGATTAAATCGTTAAGTTTTGTTATCACGCATGATAGGGGGTAATCATATGATTGATTCATCGATGGTGCTACAGTTTGTCCAACATAAATTGTATAACTTATATTTGTTATGTGTCAATTTACCCCTGAGGCCAACTTGCCCCGGTCTCCCCTACATCAGGTATCCAATTATGCACAAGAACTTCATATTTTTCAATGTCATTCAATTACTTACGACAAAAATTTGCATTATCATTCGGAAAAATCTATAAATAAAATATATAACAAATAACAATAATATTATATTATAATAATAAATAATATATTATATATTATAATATTATTTATTAATATTATTATTGCAAAAAATCAAAAACTCACATTACGATCTGCGTCAGATTTTAATATTACGTCTTTAGTATAGCAATACAGGCTATAATACGAGACACGAGTATACGACAGTTCGTTGTTCATTGGCATACTATAGTATATTATATTGATTATTGAACAATGATACAATTTCTAGAATTATCTAGATTCTAGATAAGACGGGGCGTTGCGAATTTCCGCTTGACGGCAGTTACACTCGTTATCTGTCTACATTACGTACATCATCGGATTGGAGGCCTTCGATGTCCATCAGTTATTAATAAGTTATAAAATACTGTCATACTCAATTCTAAACTGCATTATCATACATTTTATTGGTGATTTTACTGTATCCATTAATTTACAAACCACGGGAGAAGGGAAACTTTTTAATAATTTATTTTAATTTTTTTGAAATGTTATTAGTAATACATTTATAGGTCAGATAATTTATTTTTTGTATCTTCTATTTCGGGGGGTTTTTAAAAACCTAAACCCCCCCTGCGTTCGCCCCTAACTATCAACCATAATTGTTATTGTGGAGTGGACGAGCCAAGGGCTTCCACGTCCATGGTACCACCATCAAAAACCAGTCGTAAGCATGCCCACAATTTAATTTGAATTAGGTAATTCCTTACTTAATTTTTTAGATGCTTTGATTGAAACTGCGGACATCACACCAAGTATTTATATTAGGTATTTAATGTAGGTAATTCATTTCACATACCAAACTTATAATTTTTTTTTAAGAATTCCGAACATGCAGGAATTACTATGCTGGCAGTTTCAGAGGACGATATTCCGCAAAGAAAGGTTAATATATATGACAAAACGTATTTAACTATATCATTTTTTATTAAATTTAAGAACTATGAGGAGAGTAGGCATGCCCACATTTTGATTATTTGACTTAATTTTTTTTTAGATGTGTTTGAAACTGCAGAAAAACCAAGTATGTATATTAAGTATTTGATGTAGGAAATTAATTTCACATACCAAATTTATAATGTTTTTTTAAGAATGCCAAACATGTTGGAAATACCATGCTGGCCGTTGCACCAGGTATAAACGTGATAAATATTCTACAAAGAAAGGTTAATATATATGACAAAACTTATTTACTTATTATTAATAAAATAGGTATATATTGAATTTATGGACTATTTACAATTTGTATTGTTGTTTAAGAATGCCGTGTCTGCAGAAATAAGCATAGTGGACAGTGTTTGTGGCAGACACGTCAAATAGTAATTATTAAATTATAAATAACAATATACATACATGGTACATAATATAAATATTTTCTTCATGGACCACAAGAACAAGACCTGAAGACAATTATAAACAGGCGCCTTAAATCAAAAGTAAATTTTTATTACTTAACTATGTATAAATATATGTATATTGTGGTATCACCCGTATTGGATAATACGCGGTAAACCAACTTTATACCTTACCCTCGTACGCTCTAGGCTAATGACTGTCTCTAGAATATATTCAGATTAGCACTGTTAACCTTTGAGGTACGATGGTAGCATTTTGTCAGTTCTTCGTTCGTTTCCTAAATTGGAATGACTATTAGGACGCCACAACCAGAGCACTGTTCAGTTTGTAATAAACCTCATTGACTATAGGTGTGTGCGGCGGTGTTATATAGTAATCTTATCGCTGTCTCAGCACATATGCTTCACTGACCTATGTCAATGTTTTACAATAAAAAGTTCCCACCTCTATTACATATATGAAATAATATTTTGACGACTGTCTACAATATACGACAATATATAAATACAACTTTTATAACAATTACACATAGCACTCAGATACATAAGTGGGTTTAATAAAGGAAGGAATTTTAGTCTGTAGTTTGGGAGAATAGGTGGCACCAGTAGCTTATATAAAAATTATTTTCACTATGGGCTAATTTTTTCAATTTATCACTATTCAAGCATAGCACGACTAACATAGCCATAACTATACATAATTTAGGGAGCTGGGTGGTTATAATTATGAAATACCTACACAATACAAATAAAAATTGCGCAATTTAATTTTATAATAAATATTAAGTATAATATTTTTAATAAAATTAATTCTTTTTTAAAAAATATTGACAATTTCATATATATATTAAAATATATATTTTAATGTTATCTAACTGTGAATTTAACATCAAAGTCATTAAAGCAAGTCCTGACAATCATTTCCTTGTTGATTCCTCAAAAACGATTTTAATCAACCAGCTAAATTAATCATGGTGAAAAACAGTAAACAGTGTAGATATACATGAAATGCTTTAATTAAATCTGCAATTTCACCATGGGCTCTATCCTGGGGGGCACCCCCCTATGA